CTTTCAGTCATTTGTGATTATTCTGTTGAGATTTCTCTATTTAGATCTGTACCCTATTTTTTATTTGATTAATTGGTCTTTTGATGTCTAGTTTCTTGAGTTATTTGTATATTTTGGAGATCAGTCCTTTGTCAGATGTGGGGTTGATAAAGGTCTTTTCCCATTCTATAGGTTGTCGTTTTATCTTGTTTACTGTGTCCTTTGCTTTACAGAAACTTCTCAGTTTCAGGAGGTCCCACTTATTAATTGTTGCTCTCAGTGCCTTGCTACTGGTATTATATTTAGGGAGTAGTCTCCTGTGCCAATGCATTCAAGGCTACTTTACACTCTCTTCTATGAGGTTCAGTGTGGTTGGTTTTATGTTGAGATCTTTGATCCATTTGGACTTGAGTATTGTGCATGGTGATAGATATGGACCTATTTGCATTCTTCTACATGTCAACATCCAGTTGTGCCAGTGCTATTTGTTGAAGATGACTTTTTCCATTTTATAATTTTAGCTTCTTTGTCATGGGTGTGTGGGATGATATCAGGGTCTTCAATTCAATTTCATTGATCCACCTGTCTGTTTTTATGCCAATACCAAACTGTTTTCATTACTGTAGGTCTATAATATAATATGAAGTCACATATGGTGATGCCTCCAGATGTCCTTTATGTACAGAATTGTTTTGGCTGTCCTGGAATTTTTGTTTTTCCTTGTGAAGTTGAGATTTGAGAAATGCACTTATCTGTGTAAATAACAATGAGTCTTTAGGAGTCAGATTAATCATTTATTTTATTTTTCAGAATAATAGTAGTAGCTTCTTTCTTAGGACTTTATGGCCTGTTTAGTTTCATTTTCTTGTTACTGCCTTGTGGAGCTGGTCTTAAAAGCAACAAGAAAACGGTTGGTTACTCTGATAGCATTGTGCCACTATTACACCAACAGTCATATCTTTCCAGGCTGGTTGTTACTGTATGTCACGGGATTTACAGCTGTGTAAGACTTAAGATTATTTTTCTATCTCCAGTACTGTGCATAGTACCTGTCAGTACTTTGAAAGATAGTCAGTAGGGATGAAGCTCCTGGTCAGTGTTAGGAACTAGCAGCCAGCTGACCCCCACCCCTGACGATGGGCGGGACGCTCATGGCCGTGTCATCGCTACATCAGCCTTACCTGGTGGCTCAAGCTTTAACTGGCTGCCAGAGTACTCAGTTACGCATGCGCAAGACCCCCTTTTAAAGCAAGCGTGCCAAGCGCACCTCTCTCTCTTGCCACATCTTGCTCCCTCTCTTGCTCTGCCCCCCCCCCCGCTCTTTCTCTCTTCTGCTTTCCATTGGCCACCAGCTACTCCCTCTTTCTCTGCCTTCTCTCAATAAACTCCACATGGGTGCTGAGTCTCATGTTTGTGTTTCTTAGGCATTAGCTGCAGCAAAAGAACAACAGTCAGTACCAACGTTGTGATTTCTTCCTGTCCTATGTCTAGAGTATGTGGTTTCTCTAGCAATCGGATGCTGTTTGTTGTCTAGTTCTTAAGGATAACCAAGACCAGTGACAACATCCTGTAATATTTGTGGGAGTCTATGGAACCCCACTGACTAACCCTCTCCACCACTGCTAAGAGTAGCCCAATCCTAGCACAGAGCTTTTTATTTGGTAGCCTATGGTATCTGAGAGAAGCATTGTTTCCCTGTTACAGGGCAACTCCTTTCGTATATGCATAAATGTTATGGAGCTACTACATAAATAGATTTCCATTTGGCTTTTCCAAAAACCTTCAGTGTTAATTATCCCTCTCCACAATCCACCTTCCACCCTGCTCATCTCTCACTCAACTCTTTTATTCATCATTTATACCACTGTATTCTATCTCCTCTATCTTGAACCACTCATGGGCTCCTCACCATTTTTTTTTTTTTTTTTTTTTTACATTCTGGGTACTCCAATTTAAACACACATATTTCATAATTCAAACTAGCACCCACACGTAAGAGAGGACATGGGACATTCCTCCTTCTGGGTAAATTACCTCACTCAGAATGTTTATTTCCAGTTCCATCCTTTTACCATCAAATTTCATTTATCTTAGCAACTTAAAATATCCCATTGTTTAAATGTGCACATTTCCATCACTAACTCATCTGTTGGAAGATGTCTAGGCTGTTTCCATTTCCTGGAGTAGAGCAGCAATAAACACGAATGAGCAAGTGTCTCTGCAATAAGGTATAGATAGCATTGAGCATCTGCAAGCATCAGTGTTGTGGGCTGTAGAGTCCTTTGGTTATGATGGGTAAACCATAGGACAGATCTGTGTCTAGTGCCACACTGACTTCCACAGAGGCTGCACCACTTTGCTCCTCCATCAACTCTTTTCCTCTCTCTCCACATCCACGTCAGCACCTGTCATCTTCTTAACCGAACGTCAGTCACTCTAACTAGAGTAAGAGAAAAATACGGAAATCGTTTGATTTGCATTCCCTCATGGATAGGGATGTTGAACTTGCATTTCTTCTTTTGAGAACTCTGTTTAGTGTCGTGCTTCATTTAGCTATTTCTCAACATTAAGGATAGATTCAAATCATCTTAAGATAAACAGAACTGGGTCAAATACGCCTCCAGGAGAAACTTGCCTCTATAGGTAATTCTAATGAGCATGGTTGGGGGGGGGAATACATCCCAGGGGGGCTTAAGAGGTGACTCAGCAGTTAAGGGTGCTTGTGGTGGAGTAGGGGCAATCATCTCTTCCTGAGTTAAGGCCCCACAGAGCCCACCTGCAGCTCTTCAGTGGAAGCAGCGGTAATTAGACTTGATTTTTTGTTGAAATCTGTCAACAAAATGTGTTCATTTTCTCTGTATGTTAGTGTTTCATATCATATAAAAACTGTATCAAAATTAAAACAAGCTGCAGCATTAAAATAGTAACATAAACACCTCTTAAGCTGGAGGAAGCTGAGCCCATAGGTATTTGATAGCACAGTGGTTTTTAAAGATGGAGAAGAGAAGAGGGGAGGAGAGAATAGAGGCAAAGTCTCTCTGGGAACCGGTAACTGGCTGATTTAGTCAGTCTGGCTGATAGGCATGTTCTAGGAACTTGCCAGTCTCCATCTGTGGTGGTTTGAATGGTCAGTGCTCCCACCAGTTTTGTTATTTGAACGCTTTGTCTTCCGTTGGTAACACTGTTTGAGGGGATTTAGGAAAGGCAGCTTTGCAAGAGGAAGCATGTCACCGACAGCAATCTTGCCGTATTTCCAGTTCGCCCTCTCTGCTTTGCGCTTGCAGTTGAAGATGTGAGCTCTCAGGTTCCTGTTCTAACTGCCACGCCCGCTCCCCTGCCACGCCCATATCTGCCCTATTATCTCTGCGACTGTAAGCCAAAATAAACTCTTCCTTCTCTGAAACAAAAAAATAATGAAATTTAAAAAATAAATAAATGGAAAGGAGCAATTCACTTTCAGAGAGCCAGGGTAACTTTGTGTGCCATTCTTGTGTGGGTTGCCAATCAGCCAAGGACAATTTTACTCAATTTGAATAAAAATCATGAAAACGTGCAGTGTGGCTCCCTGGGTGTTATCAGCTCTAGCTTCAAGGCCCACCAAGAACCAGCAGCTCCTGTTACCAACTCAGCCTGCTTTGCTTGTTTGAAATCAAGGACAGCCAAAGTAAACATCCAAGAAAGGCTTCATCTAGACTTCTGTTACAGCGCAAGGGGCTGCAAAGCAGATGGACTCCATGAGGATGAGAGCCCTGCTCCTCATAAAAGAAAGAGGAAGTCATGCATGTGGTGTCTCTGGGCGAGAAGGGTGTTCCTCTAAGTTCCTAACTAGAGAGCTGTCTGGGATGCTTTAAAGTCCTTTGGAGAAGCTATTGATTAGAACTATGAGTAAAGTTTCTGTAAACAAAAGCAAAAATGGTAACAATCAGAACAATCTTCTAGCAAGGCTGTGAGGCATTTGATGAAGCCCTTCCACTCCAACACACACACACACACACACACACACACACACACACACACACACACACACACACACACAAAGTCAAGGACCTTCTAGATAGGGTCAGGACCTACAGACTCAGAAAAAAATTACCAGCAGCATTCCTGGTCCTCAGAGCTTTGAACTTAGCCTAGTCATACTACCTGGTTCTTTATCTTGCAAACAGCCCATCGTGAGATGTCTCTCCTTCCATAAATATGTGTGCCAACTCCCCTAGTAAATCTGCCCCTGTGTGTTTCTGAGTTGGGATCTGAAGATGCATCATTTCCACACAAGCTCATGGCAGATGCCTTGTCCCTAACTGATGGTGATGTTTTTAGAGGTGATCAAGACTGAAAAGTGGGGCATTTGAGGGAAGCAAGTTACTAAGAGTGTGCCTTTGAAGGATATTCTGCCCTCTCCACTCCTGTCTTACTCTACTTCCTGCCCACCATAATATGGACTTCTCTGCTCCATCATGCCCTGTCTGCCATGAGGAAATGACTACTCTTGCACTATGAAATTGTTCATGCCAGGAATTCTGCCACAGTGACAAGGAAACTAATGGCATGTCCCTTTAGTTCTGACTTTCAGAGAGCCCCAATACTTCAGTGTAGTAAGGATTGTTTTAAGTAATGTGTTAAGACATTCAGGCTAATACTTGGCATGCTAACTATTAATTTTTATTAAGTAATGGCTTCTACACAAGTAAAATTACTTGAGATAAGGAAGTACAGTTACAGACAACAATGACTTTTGTTTAGGGTGATCTGGGAGGTTGATATGGAAAAGGCATTGGTGATGATATATAGGTGGCCCATTAGAAACCATACTTTACAATTTCAGGAATTCTTTTATTCTATTCAAATACCTTTATTTTTTTCTTACCATAGAAGGACATTATAAAGCATATTGCACACTCAAGATGTCAGTCATCTGGAGTGTGATACAAGTCATCTTGAGAATCAATCATTCCAACTGCCCACTTCAGTCTCAACATCTGCAGACACCCTTCCCAGCTGCCTTTCTGAAGCAAGAACTGAGTCTCAGAACAGACAGTGACATCTGTCCCTGAGATGTGGAAACAAAGCATTACTCAGGTCCCTTTTCAATAAGGGGAGCCATGGGTGCATCTCCGTGTGCTTCCTTTGTTGAGTTCCTTCTGTCCTCCAGTTTCTTGTGGGATCTCATGTCAGTCCCTGTGCAATGTCTTTCGTGTCTCTCCTTCCTGTCCTTGGGTCCCTGGAAGAGCATTGGAAAAGTGTAAACTGCATCAGCAACTGACCATGTTACACATTTGTCCCAGCAACTAGACAGGAAGAAAGCTCTGGTTTTGTAGCAGACTTCCACTTCTTACTTTCTAATAAAAATCAACATCAACCCAAATTAATGTGCTGATAAAGGTTTTAATCATAAGAAAAAGAGATTTTACTAAATTTCAATGTAAGGGATATATGAAGAATGCAGGAAGGACGTCCAACCAAATCAACGTTCTCCAGGAGATTGGCTGGGATGGGAATGGTGGAACCATTTACAATAAGGACTTCACTTTACTGAACACACACTGTTGTTCTAGGATCAGAATAAATAGCATTAGATAGATTCTACCTTCTAGGTATTCCACATATATGGAGTGAGACAAAGCAGCAATACATAAGCCTAAAGGGAAATGAAAACTAGCTAGACAACTCCAATAGGCCATATGCTAAGAAACTTTTGGGGAGTAACAGGACTAATAGTGGCTGATGACGATACAGCTTTATGGGGATGTCATAACCATTGAGCAAACCGTTCACTTGAATGGATTTTTAGGTTGTGGGCATTATATCTCAGTAAAGAGTTTGGAAAAACTATCAAAATTATATATTTTTTTCTCTCATTTGGAAATCAGAACAGTCCAATTTGAGTTTTAATGCCAAAATAGAAGAACTGAGACAGGCATGTTGGCATATGCCTGAAATTCCAGCACTCAGGAGGCTGAGGTAGGAGAATCAAGTGGTCGAGGCTAGTCTGGGCTATTTAGCAAGCTCCAGGACAGCTGGACTGTCACAGCAAGATCCTCTATCAAGACAGGAAGAAGGACCAGCAGAAGAGATGCAGAGGATGAGAAGGAGGAAGAGAAGGGTAGGGAAGGGGACAGAAGGAAAGGAATTAATCATAATCTAACATATTGGTGAAGAGTAGGACACACATGGAGCTTTGGGCTCTTTTCATGCTCAGATTTATAAAAATGTTAAATCTACATGTTAGAACAATTTGGTCTTTGAACAAAAGTCAACCTTTCCTAACTCTAGTTCCACACCTATTAATTCAACCAACAAATTATCAAAACTAATCAGGGGAAATTGTCTGTACTGAAAATGTTGTAAAGCTCTTTTTCTTGTTTGTATTCCCTAAACAACACACTGTAACAACAGCATCTGTGGCTTGCACATTATGTTAAGTAATCTAGAGATAGACTGCATGGAAATTTGTGTGTGTTATCAGAAAGTACTACAATATTTTGTAAAAGAGACTTGAGCATTCTCTGATTTTTGGCATCTTTGCAAAAACCAAGAGTTTTTACTCTCTCTCTCTCTCTCTCTCTCTCTCTCTCTCTGTGTGTGTGTGTGTGTGTGTGTGTGTGTGTGTGTGTGTGTGTGTGTGTGTCTTTCTCTGTGCATCCCTTTCTTTCTCTCCACCCCTTTGTGCATGTGTATAAGTGTACTGATAAATTCCACTGTTTAATATATATGTTTTAAATTTTATTGGCAAGCGTCCCTATTTAAGACTACTGCTGTGTGTATCAGGCTTAAAAGGATATGCACTCTAAAATTTTGATTTTCCACTGACATTTTACAACATACTCGATTCAGAGCTGATAAAAATAGATATTTAATATTAGGTTATCATAAAAAATATACTCAGTGATATTTTCAAGGCGCTTATCATATAAGCTGTGAATGAAGAAGTTAGACTTGATCTCCTCAAAATTGACAAGGCAAGAGCACTGGACTTCCTTCCTGTGGCTCAAATAATGACAGCCATGCCCTGTCACATACCGAAGAGGGAGAGCGCTTGGCTCGAAGGCACAGGTGCTGTTCAAAGGATTCTGACAATTCCTGCATTTGGGGATGAGCGCCTCTTTGCGATCCCATTGGCTCCTTGAATGACCCATCCACTGAGCATTTTCTGTGATACCGCATGGGAAGCTGGCTTCGGGATCCCTGGTCTTCATGCGAATGTCGTCTAGGGTGGCAGTTAGGTGATGTAATATCGGGAAATGCAGGCAACTAGAAATATAGACATTTCTTAAGTTTACATCATAATGGGTGTGTACAATACTAACACAAAGACAGGGTACACATAAAATAACAACTAAGGAAATCACATGTTTTAGGAAAACATTACCTTCTTTCTCAGTAAGTGCTTCTATCATAAGGCAGCAGAATCAGTGGTTAAAATATCATGCAGAGTATCTCCAGACTACCATTATTGCTTGCTCTTCTACCAACAGAACAGTGGAGGGCTACAAGCCTTAAATAAAATTGTCAGAACATTCCTTTAAAATTTTACTGACACTAGTCAGGTGTTGGTAGCACATGCCTTTAATCCCAGCACTCAGGAGGCAGAGAGGCAGGCGGATCTCTGTGAGTTTGAGGCCAGCCTAGTCTACAGAGATAGTTCCAGGACAGGCTCCAAAGCAATACAAAGAAACCTTGTCAAAACAAAACAAAACAAAACAAAAAAAACCAACTAACCAAACAAACAAAAAATTTAGTGACCCTACACATGTTTCATAAATAATGTAAAGATGAATATTTGTGGGATTTTTAAAAAATGGAGAAATTATGGGCAACAATTTAACTTATATGTAAAAATCACTACTACATATCAAAAGCAGTATAAAACTAAGCATATTTGAAGACTTTTAAATCCTACACATTATCAACACCTAGCAAATATCCAGCGCAAACACAATCATATCATGAAGGCTTCTAAACAAGGAGATCATATGATATAGTGACATCAATGTTGAGACCACAGTTTGAAAATAAACAAAGGGCAGAGTCCAGAGAAGCCAACTTTCCTGAAGGACCATGACACTTTCTCAGTTTTTCTCTCACACTCCAGCCCAGTACAGACTTCGTACTGAAGACATTGATCTCCAGGTTGCCAAATTCTGCACACTGTTTAGTGTGTCTGAGTCACTGAGCCATATTCCACTTCGTTTCCCATGGGGTCCTCCTGGAAACATGATTCTCTCTCCTTCCCATCCCCGTGCATCTTCAGCTTCCTTAGATCTTTGTGTCATACCAGCTCAGACATTGTGTTCACTTATCCCTTCAGCTCTTAACTGTGCATGGGGGAGGGTCCCCAAGAGTCTAGATTACTCCCTTTCTCTTTTCATTCTGCACTGTCTCCCTACACCTGTCTAGACATCAATTTCTATAATCCTAATTTATATCGGCAATGCTGACCCCTCCACTGAGCTGCCTATTTAACTTCCGATGCTGTTCCATAGACTCTCAAATTGACATATATATCTGAACTATAGAAGGTCCTTGTTTTGGACCAGGCACCAGAATTAGCTTCCAACAGACCAGGCTTAAATGAAAATAGAGTCACCCATGCTAAATCTCCAAGTTATTGAAGTAAGAACTCAGAAGAAATGAGACATCTGAATTTCTCAAGCAGGCTGGTTTCGATGGGCATACTATCGAAGTAACCCCTGGTTTGATTCTTATGCAAAGATTGAGACCTAAAGTATCTTCACATTAACCAATAAGTCATTTTCCTACTGCTTGTCACCCTATCCAGCCTTTTAACTTAAAAGTAATTGATCTGATTTTTCCCCTTTGTTTCTGCTGTTCTTGTTTTCTCCGTGTCCTTATAACTAATCTCAGTCTATCAGAACACGGGTTCTGTAGAATGCAGATGAGAGCATGATGCTGGATACACTAGCAACGTCTTGTTAACAGATGCATCAATTTGAATAATATCCATGCACCAAACTTCAGGAACTATGGGATTCAGGAGAGTACACTGGTGCCTGATTTCAGAAGGTAAGAAGAGGGAAAGACATGTTAAAGAAGACAAGAAGAGTTGCCTGTATCCTTCCTCTTCCAACCAATGTGCAGCCTGTGGAAGGAGAGGGACTAAATCAAGACTTTAGACTTGAAAACCAGCATCAGGCCTCTACAGTGAAATCCAGTGCCAGCAGCACCACAGCCCCTACTCTCAGGACAGTGCACACACATTAAACCTCTAGAATCATGTTAGATGAGCACCAAGGCAAGCCCTCCCCCCAACTATGAGCAGCAGGGGAAGAAAAGGCCAACACATTGTGGAACAGGATAAAGTTACTACAAGACTTTGCATTGTAGTTCAGGCTTGCTTGCTACAGTGAAACTCAGATCAAATGGAAACCAAGGTTCTAGATTTAAGCCCAATCTCATAGGGTAAACCTGTAGGCATCCCCCAGCATCTATCTGGTGAAGACTGGTACACAGATGGGACAGATCTATGTTATCTTAGCTCCTTGCCAGGCATGGAGTCGGCATGTATACCTACCTAAATAGAGACTTCCCATGTCTGTGGTTGTAAGACTCAGACCAAAGCTATCCAGTTTAGCATCAGTCTAGAAAGCCAAGGGACCGTATTGACAAAACCACCTACAATGTCTCATAGAACAACAGAGAGCAAGAATATGTTTGCTAAGGGTATGGATGGTGTGAATACTGGACTGCCTTAGAACTCAGTCACAGAGTGCTGGGCCCTACAAGTAGGTCAGTGCCACAGTCAGAACCTCTGCAACAGTCCCGATGCCAGAGGGAGGCAAACCACCCAGTCATCACTACACTGTGCAACAGTCTTTGCACACTGCAAATATGCGTTGCTGTCATTGTTAGTAAAAACCTGATTGGCTGATGGTTAGGCAAGATTTTGGAGGCAGAGTGAGTGCTGAGAAGAATGAGGGTGGAGTCAGAGACGTCACCAGCAGATGGAAAGGAAGCGGGATGTGTGGGAGAGGTAATAGCCATGAGCCTTGGGGTATCAAATAGATAATAGAAATGGGTTAATTTACATTGTAAGAACTAATTAGGAATAAGTCTGGGCAATCAACCAAGTATTTGCAATTAATAAGAAGTCTCTCAGAAGTCATTTGGGAAGCAGCTGGCAAAACAGAGCTGATCTAGTCTAACGAAAGACTGCCTACAGGAAGTAGAGTGGGTAAAAATGTATAGCTCAATAAAAAAAAAATGGCCATAAAGAAATCAAAAACACTGGCAACAGCTTACGCTGGAGAGGATGTGAAGAAAGAGGAAGACTCTTCCATTGCTGGTGGGAGTGTAAGCTTTTACAGATGCTGTGGAAACCAGTATGGCAATTTCTCAGAAAATTAGGGATCAACCTACCTCAGGACCCTGTAATACCACTGTTGGGCATATACCCAAAGGGGTCACAATCACACCACAAGGACATTTGCTCAATTATGTTCATAGAAACATTATTCTTAATAACTAGATCTTGGAAATAACCTAGATGCCCCTCAACTAAAGAATGGATAAAGAAAATGTGGTACATTTACACAATGGAGTACTCAGCAGTAAGAAACAATGACATCCTAAAATTTACACACAAATGGACAGAACTAGGAAAAAATCATCATGAGTGAGGTAAATCAGACCCAAAAAGACAGATATAGTACATACTCACTCATAAGTGGATACCAGACATAAAGCAAACGATACCAGCCTACAATCTACAACCAAAAGTCCAAACAGTGTAAGACATAGAGAATACTTTCTACTTAGGGAATGTGAAAGGAGGCAAACACCAAACTATGCCCTGAGATTTAAAGCTGGTCCTTCCATAGTCTAACTGTAGACCAGAGACTATGAGCAAAACCGCTGATCTGCTTCAGCCAAGGAGGAAGCTACGGGAACACAGCCCCCTTTTCAGATACCACTTGATTCCTGCTACATAGCATTAGGATTTGGAACAAAACTGAGCTTGGATTTCCCTCTAGTGTTGAAATATAGTAGCACACCAACAGTGAGGCTTTTTAACAATTTCCTAGTGCCATCTAGTGAGAAAACAGCAGAAACAACTTTAGGCTTGGAAAAGAAGCAGGCACACACAAAACTAAACAACAACAAACTATACAACAAAAATACAGGTACAAATAAATACCCAACCCTTCAATGTGCAGACAGCATTGCACAGCAGTTAGAACTGCCAGAGATCCATGATCTCACCTAGCATTCAAAATACAGCGACAGAAATCTAGTAGTAGTCTAGATAGTAAGCCTTAGTGGAGTCCTCAAAGGAGCTGTTTCAGTAAAACCCAATGAGCTTCCAGAAAACACAGAAAAATGATTTAATACTCTAGTAAAGAAATTTCACGGAAACATGAAGGCAACTATAAAGCTAAGATCTTTGGGGTGACTATTACATTAAGCAAATCTTAAAACAAGATGAGAGGCACCGAGGGCAGAGCAGTCTTCCTTTGAAGATTATAGGAGATGTTGATAGTCTACTTGGAAATACAGAGAAGTTATACGGAGGAATAATGAGGGGAGTGTGGGTAACATGAGCAGAGAAAATATTCAACTTGCCAGGGCTCAGGGGACCTTGTGAATATCAAAGGCAAAACTTTCCAGTTATAAAAGAAAACCCCAAACACCAAACACAGAGACAGAAATCAGGCGCCCAGGTCAAAAGTTGTAGTCAGACTCAACTCAAACAAATGTACTGTAACTTATAGTCAGTTCCCCCCAAACACAAACAAATGTCCTGTAACTTAGAATAAGTTCCTCCCAACACACACAACTGCACTGTAACTTGTAGTTACTTCACCCAAACACACACAAATGTCCTGTAACTTAGTCAGCTCCCCTCGAGACACACAAAAGCCCTGTAACTTGTACTCAGTTCTCCCAAACACACCACAGCAGTTAAAGTGAATTTTTCAAAGGTTAGAGGTAAAACAGAAGACTCCAAAGTCAGAACAAGGAAAGAAACAAATAATGGGTAGGGAGGGGCAGTCAATGCACCGGACACTTCATGTCTCAACAGAAAGGTTATACCATTGCCTTGGTTTCAGGACACTGTTAGAGGAACCACCCCCCAACATCTAGATGTGCAGCCATCAGATTCCCCTTCTCAAGGGTCCCTCATCAGGACCATCTTTTATTAAATTAGTATTGGTCGGCTAATGCACTCCTGGGAGTGCACATCTTGTATCTACTCCCACTTCTTTTGCTTTCCTTTTCCCAAAGCAAACAAA